CTGAGAAACAGGCAAAACGAAGGACCCGGATGGTGTGATGGTGAAGTGCGCTACTCCCCGGTAAGGACAATAGCGCGCGTTCGTTCCCCACCGCATACACCTGCGGTCCGGAGTTTTGCAAATATCTCAGCATTATATACGAGTTATATACGGGATCATATTTGTTCAAAACGCACCATTTGCACGTTTATGGTAACACGCTAAAGAAACAAAACTATACTGTTCAAAATTCCTCCGCAGAGGATAATTTCGTTGAAAGGACTACCCCTTGAGAAGTCGTTTTCAGCACTCAACATTTCGTTTAATCAATGGGTTAAAGAAATGTCATTCAAGAGAAGCGATGCTTAAAGAGCCCAGTGATTCACCACAGGAAGGGATAGGTTAACAGATAAACTAGAAAATCGAATTTATGAGAAATTTTTGGTGAAATTGGAACAAGTGGAATGTCCTCCAAACACCGACGAAATGTCTCATATCTACCTAGCTTGTCGAATGAACATGAAGGATAAATTAATGAGCAACGACCAAAAATTAGAAAACTGTTTGAGCGGCCTTCACATGAAAGTCTTCGACCGATTAGAGAATTCAGACCTTCGCGATGACATGTTCGTTTCGAGATTCCTAAGCCCAACCGTGTTACTTGCCCTACGAACTATCCAGAAAACACCTGAAATGTTACCTGAAGCCCGCCAAGATGTTTTCCTGGTCCACCCATTATCGATCCCAACTTTGGAATTCAAAGTTGTGGCTTGTATTCCACCTTCTAGTTTAATGCGCCGTAATATCCAATATAACCAAGGTAAACTAATAAGTGTCATAGAGGAGAACGATGATCACGTTCCAAGACAAGTGTCTTCAATGGAGACCACTTGCAAATTAGATAAGCGTATTTGTCGCGACCACGATGGTAAGGATTCGTCGCCGAAAACACATCTTCCTCTGATCCACATCGTGGTGAAGACCTGGATACGCCCTTGCAAGGTTGCGTCACGACTCCAGGGACGACCAAGTTGCACGAGTAGGCCAGCCTCAGTACCCCTCACACTGGGTGCTCCCGTCTATGACGTCAGGCGGTGAACCGGTGAGACGCTAGAAAATCTCGGGTTACGCAGGACGTCATTGGAACCGGATCTGAAGAACATACGCACGACACGCCATGGACATTGTTTCTTACTATGCATGTATAATGCCAAAACACTCTACACACACGCCGATCTTCACGCCCTTCTTGTAGCCGCAGATCGCATTAAATTTCATGTGATCGCATTACAGGAAACAAAGATCAAAAGATCGACATACGCCAATTAAACAGCGGGACCCTTGTGATCCGTGGAGAAAAGGTCCTGTCACGAAATGTCGGTGGCGTAGGCTTTGTCGTCCACCCGTCCATTGTCCATCTCGTCAACTCATACGTGATCCTTTCCCCTCGCATGGCTGTCCTCCGTCTTCAACTGTCGCATTATAAGAAGATCACTATCATCAACTGCTACTCACCGACCGATGCATCTGATGGGTACGAAATAAATGCGCTCTACTATCAGTTGAAGGAACTCATCCGCAATGATAGAGCATATCATAAATTTGTTGTTGGAGACTTCAACGCCAGAATAGGAAAGGCCAACGAGAGGGAATACAGAGTCGGAAATTTTGGATTAGGAAAAGGAAATGAGAATGGGAACCTTCTCGCAGGACTCCTGTTAGCAGCACGTCTCTTCCATGGAAACTCGTTTTTCCAGAAGAAAGAAAGCCACCGCTGGGTATGGGAGTCTTCTAACGGCAGGACTCATGCGGAGTTCGACCATATTCTGACAAACAGAAGATGGTGCCTATTTAAAACATCGGTAGTCCCGTCATTCTGTACAGGTTCCGATCACCGCCTTCTTCGCGCGAAGATTCGATTCAGCCACAAGCCGGAAAAGAACTCTCTTCTTCGACCACGAGGAAATCTAGTTGTATAAGGCGAGAACATTCTGAACGAATTCCTGTCCAAACGTGACTGGCAGATTAAAGAATACCTGACCGAAGACTACGAGCTGCTTGACGAAGGACTGAAAAACTGTGCCGAATTTGCCTCAGTTCCTCAAGCAAGAAGATCGGATCGCATCTCCATGACTACTAGGTGTTGCTCGAAAAGAGAAGGAAACTGAAGCTTGATCCTACTGCAACACGTTTTACATGGCTGGTAATAAATGCCAGCAGCAGAAGAGCTTTGCAGGAAGATCTACATCGGCACAAGCAAAAGAAAATACTGGAAGGAGCAGAGAAAAGATGCAGTCTGAAAAAATGCCGTCGGAACTTATGTGATTATACTGTTCCACTGTCAGTGCTGATGAACGAAGATGGGATCGTCAAAACTTCCGCTGTGATATGGAATTAATAGCGGAAGCGTTCTACACCAACCTTTTCCGCTCCACAATCCCCGTCCCGGGCCATAATATCCCCGCTGGAAAAAAACCACCTGGAATTCTTCCGTCGGAGGTTCGAGTTGCAATAGGATGCATGAAAACAGGCACAGCTCCAGGGCCCGATAATATCACTGCCGATTTCCTTAGAGCTGGAGGCCACAATTTACATCTACTTCTCACAGATCATATGACAGACTACCTTCAAAAGGAAAAAATCCCAGACCAGTGGAGGACGTCGCGCACGGTCATCCTGCCCAAGAAAGGAGACCGAAGAAATCTTCATAAATATTGTCCCATATGCTTGTTAAATGTACTCTACAAGCTGTTCACGAAGATTATTCTTTCGCGCATATCAAGGACATTGGATGGGGCGCAACCAGTCGAGCAAGCAGGATTTCGAAAAGGATTTTGCTGCATGCGCCACATCAACACCGTGTCCAGGGTAGTCGAAGCTTGTCGGGAACACCACTTGCCTTTAGTCCTAACCTTTCTCGACTATGAGAAAGCGTTTGGCAATGTCGAAACGAATGCAATCCTATCAGCGCTCGTCGACCAAGAAGTGGACCCGTCCTACATAAGAACTCTGTCCGACTTTTATCGGAGCTCCACTACGAAAATACTGCTTTTCCAGCGACCTCTTACATTACGCATAGGAAAAGAGGTTCGACAGGGAGACACAATATCGCCAAAGCTCTTCAGCACCGCACTACAGCGGATAATGAAGTACTTGATTGGGACGAGAAAGGCATACGTATTGATGGAAAATTCCTATCAAACCTTCGTTTTGCCGATGATATTGTCACATTGCAGAGACCACCTCGTACGTTTACCTTGGGCGATCAATGAATATAGGAAACAACATGAAGGAAGAACTAGATAGAAGAAGGAGAGCAGTTTGGGCCTTATTCGATCTTCTCAAAGAAGCCACCAACCAGCTGAAGGATCCGAAAATCTGCCCTCATCTCTTTGATTCTACGGTCCTCCCAGCCCTCTGTTATGGTACAGAGACTTGGGTTGATACTTTAGCTACGTCAAGAATGCTTCGCACTACTCACAGAGCGCTGGGGCGATGTCTTCTGAAATATAACCGGCACTCCCAATGTGTAGCCAGAATCGAAATCTGTCACATCTTCGAGATCCAGGAGAATATACATCGACAGCGAAACATAAGTAGGCCGGTCACATAATGAGAAGAACAGACGACAGGTGGACGAAAGAAACAGTAGAGCGGACTCCAAGAGAATGCAAACGTCCACCTGGGCGACCACCTACACGTTGTGCGGACGTGTTCGTGAACAAAGTTAATTAGCTGTCCCCGCAGCTACAGTTGTTTTACAGATCATGGTATGATGAGACTCGCAAGTGCTACCATGTTCGAACAAGACCACCACCATGAACTACGATTGCGAGAGAAAGGAACGAATGGCATATGTGCTGGGGTCCGCACAGTTCGTGAAGACGGACCGTCCAAGTAAGGAAGGAAGTAAGTACGATGGTAGTTGCAGGATGACTCCAAAAATTGCTGACACTATGATACACACGCGGTACAAATCAGTGAACCATGGTCGAGAAAGATTGAAACGAGATCATATTGGGGTGGGGACGTGCTGTTCTTATGCATACGTCGTCTAAGTAGTTGAACGCTTAGATTCTTCTTCTTCATGGGAGAGTTTTCATAATGTGTTTGAAGTTGAGAATCGTCGTACCTTTTCGTTGATATCCTCTTGTTTGCGATAGATAGTGTGCCGTTTTGGGCGGTCTTTGTCTGAAAAAGACGAAATGACATATGCTTTTGAAGAAAAGTTGACCTTTCACTTTTTCTTACTACCATATACAGATATTATTCTGATACTAACGGAGCGACATATTCGCAAAGGTGCATCATATTCGCAACACGCTGTAATTGGATACTAGGATAATCGGCCTTCCTTGGTTGTGCGAGCCCCACCATAATTTCCATTCGCGATATTTGGTGGTTTGGCCATTTTGGCTAGCCGGAGTCCTACGGTCAGCTTAGCTAAATCCTTTCTCAGTTCGTCGCCACCCCAGCCAGTGGCTGTTCTTGTGGATTAGAGGGAGACTTGCCATCATACGACTAGTTTGATGCCAGGACGGCCGTGATTCCTGGCATTGGTTTGCTCTTCGCTGGGCTTCCTGATGGAAACGCCGGATTTCTGGTCTAACCCGACGACTTAGCAGTAACTGGTAACTTTCCGTTCACGAGAAACTGCAACTAGTATTACTCATTGCGGTATAATTCTAATCGTCTAGAAATGCTTCTCGAGATTGAATAGATCGTCTGGTTCCTCCACAGATCTGTAGTTCTAGAGGTCTAAGGTCGTAAAGAATTTGCTACTATCGATTCCGTGTAATTGATTACTCCTGCGCACTGCACGACAGACACATGTGCCGAATGATTGCAGCAAATGTCATCATTAATAGCGCTCAACCAGACGTTAAGATTGGACACTAATCAACGCCATGCGTACAAAATGTCACCACTTCAATGATGCCTTTTGTTGATAAAAGTTTATCAACCTATCGATGAAACATGTCATTTCGACAAAAGTGGTTAGAGTCTTACAAGCAACTGAATTACCGTGCAAAGTGACGAATCCAGTTATATTCTAACCCACAGTCTTTGCAAAAATAAGGAAGATTATCTTGTTCTAATAGGGGAGAGCTTAAGGGCGCGTGTGGCGCAGTGGTCGAAGGCGCCCTGCAAAACACGTGGAATCGATTCCGGTGCACATAGCCGACCAAGCCTTCCATTCCTCCGGGGTTGGTAAATTGGTACCAGCACTGGTCCAATACATCGGTAGGCCACCGCGAGTCATTGTAAAGGTTGAATATGCATTCAATCACCTCCAAACGATGTTTAATGAAGTCGAATGCATGACGCATCCCTTACGGATTGATCATCGCCTAGAGGTTATCCTTTCTTAATAGTGGTGCACGACCAACCGACTGGTCACGTGTAGTAGTCATAGGATGCACTCAATTCACATAAGTGTACATATGATACTTTGTATTGCACCGTAATATTGTTGTATTCGTCGATGTATTTCATAGTTGATGTCACAATGTTTATTTGATATGCCTTAAAAAGGATGATGAGAAGCAAAGTATACATTGCGAAATCTGCACCATTCATGTATTTTCCTTCGCAATTCAGGTCTAGAAGGAATTCACCAGCATCTTAACACAGATGTGAAAGATCGGTAGAACGCAGCACAAGTTGAGCAATCTCACCAAAACGGAAGGGATTTCAGTGTTGGAGGTTAAGGTAGCAGCAGAGATCTTCATCTCTGAATTGTGAGGCAACTGTAAAAGTATACTCAACTAAATTGAAGCGCACCTTGCGGTGCCGAGCAAAACAAAGCACTTCTGTTCTACCCAACAACGACGCTCTCCTTTGTTATCGAATTTACTGATTTCCTCTTCTCTCAGCACAATTTAACGTGTTACTTCATATTTTTTGTCAAAAATTTAAAATGGGATATATTGCTCAATTAGAGACTTAATCACGCCGTTGACCAGTTGAAGCCAAGTTTTTCGTGGAAAATGAAGAATTGAGTAAGGCTTTGATTGAAATGTAAACTTACGGAGGCTTGTACTTGGCGTTGCCGCTTGTTCTCTACACTTCGTTACGGCCTGAAGCAATCTTCGAAATCATTTGCCTATGAAATATATATATATATATATATTTGTAAGCCCACCTCCCTATACTGATTTGTGACATTCATGAATTCCTTCCAGGCATTTTCCAAATCACTTCTAGTATCACATGACTGCTCCTTGGTTTTTTCCAGGTGGCATTCTCTTTCCACCTGCTTCAATCTCTTATCGGTAGCCATTCTCAAGATGGTGTCTGGCGAACACTAAAACGAAAAAATTAATGTATTTGTATTTCAAAAACCGACTTTCCTTTAACTTCGGACATGAGTAATTAACTTGTACTCTTTGATTGATAGGCTAATACAAAGTTGGTAACAAGCCTTATTCAGGTAATGTTTCAACGTCTTTGTCTTAGCTATCTTCGTTCTCTTATCAAAGAAAGAATAGATATTGGTTGGCCATGCCGAGGTTAAAGGAAAGTTTTTGAAATATTGACTCGCTACATGCTAGGTGACATTGATACCACCTTCTACAGGATGGATTGTCCAGAGAAAACACGTTGTTATCAACGGACAATCACTATCACCAGCAACTCTCCTGCACAAAGGGCGTCGTCGAGTGAGACTGCCTCATTGCAGCGGTGCTCCACTGACTTAGGTTCTACTCGCTTCGACGACGAAGACACCACATGGAGAACATGAACGGCTGTGGACCATAGACTCGGATGATCGACTGTGACGAAGACGAAGACGTGGAAACGCTATCCGAATAAACCTTTTCAGCTTCGTCTTAGCTCATCAATGAAAGAATACATAACGAATTTATGTCCCAGATTTCTATCCGAAAAGTTTTGTTATCTATTTTTTCCGGCCTATCTATGTCTTTTTCTATTCTTGTCAATTAAATATTTCTATGAGCAATAGCTGAGAAGCCTCGATTCGATGCGATTAAAATCTTGTTTTAGCATATTCATTGCAGTCAACTTAACCTTTCCAGTCTCTGAAAAAGGTGACATCCGTCGCACTGTCAGCTTCTTTGTAATAATAATGAAGAATAGAGTAACATCTCGTGTCAGCTCAAAAAGAATATGTAGAATTCTTTGATAAATGCCGAGGATTATGTAAACTCGGCTGTGAGAGACCTCAGTTAAAAACCATGCATTGAGCTTTCTCTGTTGCTACGATGTAACCAGATAATGAATTGCAGTGGAATTGAAATAAGGGACGGTTATGGATACTGTATACGTCGGTGAAAATATTCCTTATTTCTTTGATCATGGAGTGGTATGAGCGGATGCCAAAAGTTCCCAGTCCTCCCTACAAACTGTAAGCGATGCCAAATGAGTTCTACCTGACGAAAACACACAAACCTCATCAAATTATATCTTCAAACCCTTCGAGAGGAAATCTAATCATCGGCCAGGTGATCATCCTGCTTTGTGGTTCGCAGCAGGTTCACTAAATCTGGAGTATGCGGCAGTATCTCTAATCTTTGACTTTCCATGTACGTCGGAATCTTTGAGCCACTCGCTTAGTTTCCTGATATAAGATACTTCAGAAGTGACCCTGTTGTTGACACATTCGCTAACCACACATTTACATCGTATACAGAGCGCCCAAGTATTCACTGAGTAAATGACAGCAGGGCGAACTTTAGAATCAAAGATCAGAGTCTATGGTCTTGTTCGCTGCATTCGTAAGTGGTTCGCGACGTAATTGCAAACTCTTGAGGTAAGTCGCCTCCTTCTGCTTAAATTTGTAACTAAATCTTCCATTACTTCAACATTCCTCACATACACATCGTTTCTTTTTATATTGGGCCGAAGACACGAACCCTCAAATTTTGCCTGCTTTTACTACTCTTTTTTCCTTATGATTTTCGCTATTTACCTGCGTCACCTGTCGTCCCGTTGGTCGTCGAGTGACTCGAGTGGGAGCCAGTAAATCTTTCATTTGTCCCTGTCGTGTAAGAGTAGCCCGGTGGATTCTGCTCGCACTAGCAACTCCTTTGAGTATCACGTTTTTCTGCTAAGGATTTCGTAAAAAACTGTGACCCAGTGGACTACCTACAGCACTTTTGACATCCCGAGCAATCCAGTCACTAACGGTTCTTGTCCATCGGTTGTCATTCATACGCATTACGTGTTCGGCCCACG